GAGTGAGTGATTTTTATGTTGGAGAGGACACGTGCTATGTGTGTACGAATGTTCGTTGTTGTTTGAAGTTCGATGTAATAAAAGAAACCAGCATTTTAATGACCTTTTAATAAGGGTTGTCACTGGAGTGCTGCTGCGACATTGGTGTTTTTGTTATTCTTGTTCTTGTGGTGTTCCGAGTAATGACTGTTTTCGAATGACATTGTTGTTGTTCTTGTTGTTTTTTGTTGGTTACTTGAATGGGTGAGAAGGGTTAATTTGCATAAGTAAACAAATCCATATGTGGTTTTGCCCAGGAATTTACTGCCGAGCCTTAGGCGGAATTAACAACCACTTACAGACACGGGCAGACAGACGACCATTGGGGGTTGGCATGCCAGAGGCGTTAATCAATTTCCCTATTTACAAAGGCTGTTTATTAAACAGATTTCAAATTAATTAGAGTTGGGAATATTTTATTTCCTCTTTGGTTGGGGAATTTGTTTGTTTTTTTTTTTTTTTTTTTTTTTTTGAGAAATAACTGTCTTTTTGTAAATATGCACTAATCCGTTTAGTGTTTGTCAACGCCATTTAGTGTGACCTTGCGATGAAGGTGGGTTGGGTGTGTATGGACAACCTGTTGCATTGAATATACCTTTTTAGAGTAGATTTTCTGCAATTTCATTGTGATTTTGAAAATAAAAAGTAGAAAAAGAAAAACATAAAAAATATTGTGTAGTGTAGTCCATGTTGTGCTTCTTAATAAAATGTAAAAGTAATTCCCTTTTCGAATTCATGTTACATCCGTGCCAGGTTATCTCTCAAATTTCCTAAACTTGTAATAATTTACATAAAACATTGCCAAAATTGCTTTATTCGATACTATTTAATCATACACTTCTGTCGAATGGTTATGGGCAAGTCTAAAGTTTATCCCATTTGGCAGCTGAATCAAATTTTCTCATTTACCTAATTTTCATCATGTTGTTGGCTGGCTGGCTGGTTGGCACAGCTGTTGCCTATCGAATATTCATTACATCCTGCTCCTTGATGTCGCTGCTGACGATGATGTTGTAATCACATAAAAACTGCTAAAATTACGATTAGATTTTTCAAAATTTCCATTAATAATGGCATATTTTGTCATAGGCTAAACGTTGATGTTATTTGTTTCATATTGGAATATGATAATCGAAAGCTTCAGCTGATATAAAATAAAGTCGTTAATTCAATATTTTGCCAAAATTATGGAGAAACAATTTCAATAAAAGTGATGTGAAATTTTGTAACTCCCTTGCGTTAGGATGTTAAATTAAAACAACATAAATTTCGTTGAGTAGAAAATTTATGATAATGGAATTATTTTTGATTACATTTTGGGACAGGTATCGGAAAATGTGTGCTGTGCGTTAGATAATATCTTTTGCAATATTTAGCTGTGTTATTTTGATGGTTGTTGGAATTTTATGAAAAAAATAAATAAATTGTTGGAAGATGAAATGGAACATGGATGGTCAAGGTTTTGTAGATATATCAGGGGATGCTGGAAGAAATTAGATAGACATGAATTACTATGAAGTTGGCGCCCTAGTAAAGCTTTCCGATATGTATAAAATACACAGCAAACTTACATGATTTATTAGCCGATTAACCCACTAAAAGGTAATGTAAACAAACTACCATCGGCAGTAGCAAAGAGGTGACAATAATGGATTATTTTCTAAAAAAAAAAAAAATACAAAATAAAAGGGCTTACCTTCCTCATGACCAAGTAATGAATAGCGTCGGTTCAGTATGTACGTCCAACTACAAACCCGAGGTTTGTGAGATCGAGATTCGTCGTTGACAATCTAAGAAGCATATAAAAAATTCGATGAGTTGTTTATATATTTAGCTTTTTTGGCACCATTAACTACTTACAAAAGTACATACTAAGTGCTTACCAAAATTGGTGGATTTTTGGAGCCAACAAATAAATTAAAACCGACCATGTGCTACCCTACCCCTAAGGTCCAACCTCATTTGTTCTATACTCATGCTAGACCCAACTAAGTATATATTCTTGATCAGCGTAAAAATCTAAGTCGATTTAGCGATGTCTGTCTTCCTGTCTGCAGTAATCACGCTATCTTTGGAACGAATAGAGACGAAAGGCTAAAATTTTGCACATGTATGTGTATTTTTCCAGTAGGCAGGTTAAGTTCGAAAATGGGCCCACGGTGCACGTTTTCGTATAGCCCTCATATAACGGTACCTCCCGATATTCTGTATTTTGAAGATTTAAGAGACATTATTGACTGGAATTGTTTCAAATTTCGTACTTAAAGATCTTGGCTTCTACAGCCTTTGGCAAAAATTACTTATGCAGGTCCACGTTTTCATACAGCCCCCATATAACGGTACCTCCTCATATTCGGTATTTTGAAGATTTTAGAGACATTATTGACCGGAATTATTTCAAATTTCGCATTTTAAGTTCGGAATTGGTTCTACAGCCTTTGGCAGAAAACTACTCACTCAGATCCTCGTCTTCGTATAGCCCCCATTTAAGCATTGTTTGTCGACGGATTTTTTTTTAATTTTTCAATTTCCTTCAAAATTTTGAAGGGTATTAAAATTTCGGCACGGCCAATGTTAGTTGCTTTTTTACTTGCCATACAGTTGTATAAAAATATTTTTTTTGTTTTTGACCGAAGACATTGGTTCTATATTTTCGACCTCTGTTATGCTGATAGGTATAGGTCCATTTTACCCGCTAAATATTTTCCGATGGGCATCTAAAATTCTAGGCTTCTGTCCTGTGCTAAATTTTACCTTATACGAAATTTTGTGTCTATTGGTCTTCAATTGGGACCTGTAGAGGGTCTGTAAAATCAGCAATTCATTGTTACTCATAAAAGTTTTGCGAACATCTTCAAAAACAATAGCCTTTTATTTCGGGACTAACCCAAGCCCAATGAGGATAGGGCGATACTTGCAACCTGTGTAACAACACATGGTGTTATAGGGTGTAAACATACGGCAATTACAAAACCAGGGAATTTTTCTGTATTTGGTCGATTTTAACCCCTAAGTACTTTGCGATCATCCTCAAAAACAACAAATCTTCTGACTCTAACTACAACTGCCATAATTGCGATCTGTAGCGTGATTACAAATTAATCTGGACGGACGGACACACATAGCTAGATCAACTCAGCTTGGCGAGATGGGAAGTATAATATATTACATCGTGGGCCTAGGAACAATATTTCGCGGTGTTACAATAATTTTGGTCAAATCAAACATACCATTCCCTCAACACAGAGTGTTGTAGGGTATAAAAACAGTCGTTCTATTTTTGTAACACTATGGGGTTGAATTTGTGTGTATTTTTACATTGAGGAGCGGATCAAATGAGAGTTCTCAGGCAGAACATTCAAAATTGATTATCTGAAGAACTAGCGTTCGAGTCGAATCGCTCGAAACAGAGTGAGAGTTTGCTCCAAGGGTGAAATCTGCTCGTTTTCGAGTGAACTTTGACCCCACTCTAAAACGAGCAAAAGCATGATCGCTTTTTTCGAGTTTTGCTCATTTTGTTTTTCTACTCCCAGGAGTGCTCCCGCTCGACTTCGAGTGAGTTTAACTTTTTAATCAAATTCGAGCGAGTTTTTCGGCTTGTGTCTTCGCTGACTCAATTTACATTTAATCTTCGCAGGCATGAAATATGTCTTTTTACAAGTCGATGCAGGATAGGGTTCTTGTATATAATGAAACATCAGAGTAACTTTTGCACGGGGTCGACCTTTATACGTCATCTGAATAAAAAATATTATCTCATTTTATTTACATATCATAATTCAAGAGTAGAATTGCAACTGTTCGTTTTAATTAAATTCTATTTTTCATACGAAAAACTAATGGCAAACTTTTCTGGTCTTATGATCTGTTGACAAACCAATTAATTACTTTAAGTCACATAAAAGTGAACTTACGTGGAATCACTTACATCCATATCCTGCGAATAATGTCCTCTGAGTCATGGCGAACATCTAGTACTAGTTAATTTGATGTAAAATCTAAACAAGAAAACACCTACAAAAAAATCATAAAAAAGCGACTTTTCTACTCTCGCTCACAACTCAAGGAATTGAATCAACATGACATCATGTTAATTTTTTATGATCTGCTTGTTTTTTATTTATTTTTTTTTTAACTTAGGGCATTTTTATAACCATACATACCTATGGATGTAGTTGACTTTCTTCTTCGTATATACTTACATAGCTATTTGTGTATGGACATGTTCTTTTAACAATTTTAATGCTGCAATGCTGGCTGGCTGGCTGAGGTCGTAAAAAAGTAACAAAAAAGGCACAAGACCTCCTATGGATGGTGTCCATGTGTGGTAGTTATTGTATTCCAGTGATTACATGACTCTTGTTGTTGTTGATGTTGTCCTCCTTTGGAAAAGTCACTCTCTTGTTGTTTTCACCGAAACGGAGCGAAACGAACGACATACAATATGACCCCGCCAGTCAGTATATGGCTGTCATACAACACATAACAATAGTTGTATACAACAGAGTTACATGTAACTATGTATGAGTGTGTGCGTGTGTGTTTGAGTAGTACACAATCACACATACATATGTATATTTTATTATCTATGAATAAAAATAACAATAACAATAAAACAAATAAATAAGTAAACAAATGAGTTCAACAAAGTTGAGAAACGAAAAAAAAACTAAAGCAATAATATTGTGGGATGGCCTGTAAAGTGGGTATGAAGGAGGAATAATAATAGGCCATTTGTTTACTCTGTTGTTGTTTCTATTTCTGTATGACGATCCATAAAAAATGGAAAATTTAATTTAAGAAAAACAATCTGCATTTCATTTAATTTTCCACAATAAATGTCAAATGTATGGCATTCATGTCGCTAATGGACACGACTGGCTTTTTTCCGATTTTGACTTTTATTTTAATGTCATTCCATAAATGTATTTTATTTAACGGTGTGTTTTTTTTCGTTACAGGTGGGCACACAGACACACAAAAATCTGTATTTCAATTATTGATTTCAACAATTTGAACAAATAAACAACTACATTACACATATATATACAGAGAGATATTTTGGTAAGTTTAATATCTGATTGATGGTGACAACTGTTGAGATTTGCACATTGGGTGGAAGTGGAATAAAATATGGCAATTTTTTTTCTGCTAATTATTATACAATTAAATTGATAAAATAAAAATTACAAGTGATCAGGGAAAGAAAACATATGTTAAGCTAGCCGAGAATGCAGCCTGAAATGAGTGAAACTTTAACTGAGGTCTTCTGAAATAGAGTAAATCTAAATCCGAATTCAAAATTCCATGTCAAAATACAGTTATTTTTTAATTTTTTTTAATTAATTAATTTTAGTCGCCGATATCCAAAATAAATATGGGATCTTATAGCCAACATATGAAAACTAGGATAGCATGACAATTTACATGAAAATCAAGTTGAGAGTCAAGATGAGGTTATGTCTTGCCCCTTTACAGGCCCATTTCGGTTTAATCCAAAAAAAAAACAAATTTTTAACTTTTCTGAACAATCAGTATACTCTTAGCCATATGGCTATTACAGTCCAAACTTTCCTAATAGCAATAAGGACCAAATACATTTCGGGACAGTTAAAATTGATCTAGGAGTGTCCGTTTTATTCCATATATATGGATCAAACGTAGCCCGAGTTCAGAGATGGGCACTATCGGCCCACTTCTTCTGGTACCTCCTCCAATAATTTCAAATAAATAATTAACCTCTTAAAACTAGAAGGGATTATCTAATTTTATGCAAACCTTTCAATCCTAATATTCTTATAAATGGTACATCAGGTGCGAAAATGGACAATATCGGACCACTCCATCAAGTACATGCCCCACAAAGGGTTAACATTTTTGTTAATTATAACTCTTATAAAATGTAAAATAAGAGCCCGATTGTCTTCAAATTTCGGACATCTCAATATTTCTACCAACACAAAATTTGGTATAAAGAACGGACAGAACAGCCCACTCCTTCTGGTACCTCCAGCCCACTCCTTCTGGTCAACATTTTAAATAACCATGAAGGTCATAAATCGCGACATAAACAACCGATTATTTTCATTCTTGACACATCTCAGTATTTCTATCAACACAGATGTAAAGATCAAATATATCGGACTCTTCCTGTTGGTACCTCCCCCACAACGGGCAACATTTTTGAATAATTGTACCTCTTACCAAATGTGAAATAATTATTCGATTCTCATTATCCTAATATTTCCATAGACAATATACATAGTGAGATAAAAAACTGTAACAAAGTCAAACGCCATAATTTTTACTTTTTTAAATTTTATTGAATAAAAGCACAAAACTTCGGAAATAGCACCAAAATTTAGAATAAGTTTAGATTTCTTCAAATTAGTCAGCTTTAGCACGAATTATGGGCTTCAAACGCCAATGAAACCGTCACATGCTGCCCGAATGTTGCTCTGCGGCATTTTGACCCTTTTCGGCGAAGCGCTTGCTTGAGGTGATCGACACTTTGGTATTTTGAATAACCAACCTTGCTTTCCAAAATGCTCCAGACACAATAGTCCAACGGATTTGTATCTGGAGATTTTGGTGGCCATTGTGCGCTGGAAGCGAGAAACCTCATTTTGTAACCATTTTTGGGTGGCGCGTGCTGAGTTCTAAGGGAATATAAAAAGTCTGGGGCCAAAATGTTTGCGTGTCCGAGGCTTTAATACACCCGCCAGAATATTTTCGCGATAATATTCGGCATTCATTCTGATGCTACGGTCGATTAATACGAGCGGAGAGCGACCATCGGCTGTTACGGCGTCCACCATCACCATGGCGGGCACTTGAGTTCTGGTGGCCAAACGAAAGTGCACATTTTAAACTGACCTCTTTGGCAAGTAAACACGATCATTTTGTTTGTTTACAAACTGCAGGACAACGAATGTTTTCTCATCGGATAGAACCAAATTCGGCAGTTCACCACTTTCGGCCAAGCGAAGCAACTCTTTAGCTCTTCTGAGTCTATTTTCTTTTTGTTGCGGTTCTTGCACTTCTTGGAATTTCAAAGGCTTTACCCCGAGCTCATTTTTCAATATTTGCCGAATGGAATATTGCAATATGTTAAGTTCACTAGCCATTTTTCGACCACAGCAAAGCTGGTTTCCATAAAGTCGCTTCCTTACTTTTCGAACCATCTCTGCTTTTTGTGACGAATATACTTCCCATCTTGCCATTTTTCGAAGATTTTTGTCTTGTAGAATAAAAAACTCCTAATTTTGTCCATTGTGGATCGCAAATATTTCCTTAACAGAGACACATTTTTCAGTATACAAAACTCAAGTTTGATAGAATTTTTTGATGCATTCGTAAAAGTTTGCATTCACCCATCCCATAAAAAATTGTATTCTACATAAATCTTCTAATATTTAAATATGTGTGTTAATTTATTTATCCACATTGATATACATATAAATGTGCTATAATTCAAATTTTTATTAAATTATTTTCAAATTTACTAATTAAATTCCTATAATAGATGCAAATCGATTACATTTATAGTCCATTGAAAAATTACCACTCAAAATAAACACATCTTTAAATAAATTTCCAAACTATTATTGCTGATTAATAGCCTCTCCGGTTGTTCTATGTTCTCTCCCGGGAGTATCATTTCTAATGCCATTTGATTTATCGATTCGAACACAAATACCACATTCCGTTCCAAAGCAAGTTGTATTATTAAATGGTATCAGAACAGCGAATTTGGCATTAAATTAATGAACTGAAAGTTGTTTGGCTGCAGTCATGGCGGATTTTCTGCAAAGTTTGCCTCAACAGGGCGATTATTGAATTTAATGACTTTCGCCCGGGTCCCCAGGCATTGGATAACAATAATTAGAATTTTAATTTCAATTTCCATTTCGTTGTCGCTATCGATGCGAAAAGCATTCAATGCATGCTGCAACAACACAACATGCCATGGCCACCAATATCGGTGTTGTTGTTGCCGGCGCCATCGTCATCAGGTGGTGCATTCTAAATTCGGATTGAGTACACAAAATACATATCTGAAAATACATTTGATGGGATGTCGAAGGAGAGAGGTGAATGGCAAAAAAAAAAAAAAAATGATGTCAAATTCGACAAATTTGTTTGTACAACAATATTAATTTCAATAGAATTGCACAATTTGCTGGGCACATTCATTATACATCCGCATCGATCCGATGGCCCAAATATTGGATGGCCGTTTGTTATTTGATATCGTATATTATATTAAAACACACAAACGTACACACACACACACTCGATCATTTATATCACATGGATGACCTTAATTATAACACATATTCAATTTGAGACCCCTAAAAATGTTGGAACTTTTTCGACAGCTTTTCCTAATAAAAATGCCATGCCATTCAAATTGTCACCCTGTGTGTGTGCTTGTATTTGCGTGCATGTATGTGTGTCGATTAATTAATGTTTGTTAAACACAACTATTTGAAAATCAATACTTCAATAAATTTAATGTGTTTCGAATGAAAGACAAAACCATTCATTCAATATCAATTACAATTTGTTGAACAAAAAAGGAAAAAAAAAGACCATAAACTGTGTACTTTTCATTTGGCTTATTTAGAACAATTTGCATTTATTTTTCAATCGACGGCAATTAACAATTGAACTGTGTCACCATTTAACACAGACAAAAAAAAACAAAAACAATGACAAAAACTCATTACAGTGAAGTTTGCATAATTTAAAATCGTTTTGTTTTTGCGGTGGAATATTTCACAGATCAAAAAGGATGTGATATTAGGGTTGAGATAATTAGCCCCCCTTTTTGCAGGTAATATATAAAATGAAGAGACGTATAAATATATCGTATTATATAGGTATCTATGAATGGTATTCCTTGTGCTCTGACCTCTTACAGGGTAATTAGAAAGACTCAGTCCGATTCAATCGAAGGATGAGAATCCCTTTCTACATGTGAGAATAGGAAATAGTCCCTCGAAAATTTTAACCAAAAACTCTTATTGAAAATTATGGGCCTACCAAATATACAGGGTGAGATGAAAAAACTGTAACCAAATTCAGACTGCTGTCAATTCTAAGCCAGTCGTCCGACAGCTGTTAAAATTATTACATTGACAACTCATTATATTGTTTACAATCGTAGGAAAGCATTTTCATGAGAATTTTCCAGAAAAAAGTAATTCCTGATGGAATTCAAAAGTGATAGTGATGATTCTTTATTGATAGTGTGTTTTCTTTATATTTACCTGGAAAACCACAAGTGGCTAACGTTAGAGCACTCCAGCATTTAAATGTGAATAAATATTTTTTGTCTCATACCATCGCTCGTTACCGTGATACGCCGGCCATGGTGATAGAATAACAGCCGATGGTCGCTCTCCGCTCGTATTAATCGACCATGGCATCAGAATAAATTCCGAATATTATCGTGAAAATATTCTGGAAGGTGTATTAAAGCCTTGGGCACCCAAACATTTTGGCCGCAGACCTTGGACATTCCAACAAGACTCAGCACGCGCCACTCAAGAATGGTTACAAAATGAGGTTCCTCACTTCATTTCCAGGGCACAATGGCCACCAAAATATCCGGATACCAATCCGTTGTACTATTGTACCTGGAGTATTTTGGAAGGAAGGTTGGCACTAAAAAATACCATAGAAATACCATCACCTCAAGCAAGCGCTTCGCCAGAAATAGGTCAAAATGCCGTATTGGTCACCAAAATCTTTGGCTACCAATCCGTTGGACTATTGTTCCTGGAGTATTTTGGAAAGCAAGGTTGGCACTAAAAAGGCCAAAGTGTCGATCACCTCAGGCAAGCGCTTCGCCGGGAATGGGTCAAAATGCCGCAGAGCAACATTCGGGCAGCGTGTGACGGTTTGAAGGCCATAATTCATGCGAAAGGTGACCAATTCGAACAAATCTAAATTTATTCGAAATTTGATGCCATTTCCGATATATTTGCTTTCATTCAATAAAATTCAAAGAAATGTAAAAATTATGGCGTGTGATTTTGTTGCAGTTTTTTAGCTCA